GTGGTGTGACTAAACAGCATGTATCAAAGAACTAGGAAACAGGCAATCTGTTTTCAGCTCTGACTTTAAGCAGGAAGTGATTTTCCTGATAAAACAGGCAAAAGGAAAAATTATAACTCCCCAATCAGAATAGTCTTACAGGAAATCTTGGGCTAAGTAGACAAAACTCAATGAAGATTAAGGACTGCAAGTGCACTGGTTGATAATAACAGCTAATTTTTATTAAGAACAAATTATAACTAAACACTCTTTCTAAACACTTATCCTGCATTTTTTTTGTAACTGTTAAAACAGGAGTAATTTTTTTAATGTTTAATTTCTGTAGGCACATGGTAGGTGTATATATTTGTGGGGAAACAGGCTTCTTATACCCATTTGACATATGAAAAAAAAGAGATTGAGAGATTAAGTAGCTTGCCCAAGGTCGATAGCTACTGAATCAGGAATCAAGCCTAATTAACTGCTCAGGCTAACACTAAAATCAACACCAAATCTTCTCCCTACACTGCCTTTTGCATGGATAAAGTCAGCAACCTCCTTCTGCAGGGGATACTGACACAAAGCAAGATCTGCATTAAAAGTATACTTAAAGCAATGAAGTTCTGGTTTAGAAACAGGCAGATCAATGGAACAAAGTAACATGTAAAGAAATATACTTGAATATATATAAGAATTTATATAATTTAATGTGGTATTGCATATTGTTTGAGTAGGCAGATAAGCTAGATATGAGCAGGAGGGGGACTCCCCTGAGAAAAGGGAGGTTTGGAAAAATCTCATACCCCAGGGACCACCCAAAACACGCATCCTAGCTATGAACAGAGAGGAAGAGAAATACCTATGCAGAAACAGACACCCCTTAAGACTGCCAGTAATCACTCACACTGCAATTAACCCATCAGAATGTAGCTAGCTACATTAGGGGAAAGAGGGAAAAAGGAGAAATGTTTGCACTTGTTGCACCTAAGAGATACACAGGTGCAATAAGTACAGATTTAACCACTTTCCAACCTTGCTCAGGTGGTGATAATGAGTAATGCAGGAGTATGTAGAATTCATATTCAACACTGGCCAGTATATACATGTGAACTAACCGTAGGGGAGAATCCCACAAATTTGGGGTGGAAACTAGGTGGGGGAAAAGGTGGGGACTTAAGGCAGAAGTGGGAACTAGGCAAAGACAAAGGTGGAGACTTGAGGCAGAAGCAGAAACTTGAAGAAACAGTGCCATAATAACCACAATGCAGAACTCCCAGGGCTGCAGCTGGCTTTTTCCCTCTTGAACAGTCTACTCTGCCTCATCTTTCAGCATGCACCGTCTCTGCTTCTACCCAGCCCTTGCTGCTACTACTCCTGTTTCTCCAGCTAGACCAGCCTGCTCCTCTCCTGGAATGTCCTTAGTTCAATCAACTCTGTAATCTTTATTTGCTTTCAATAAATCTTTTGCTTACGTTACTAATTGGCCTCTTGGCTAAATTCTTCTCCCATGCAAGACAAGAACTGAGGATTCCTGCACCTCCTGGTAACCAAATCATCAGGAAAAGTACCCAGTATTAAATAAATATATGGAAATCAATGGCTGTTTGGGAGAAAAAATAAAGTTAAAGCCCTATCTTTTTATTTTTTAAGTGTACTTCTAGTGAGCTCTGAGTGTTTTAGGGACTATACTCTGCCCCATTTGTGGGGATTATTAGTCTTTCCAGATAATTTATGTGGAGAATATTACTTTCAGACGATGTACCACAAACGAAAGTAATTTTGTTAAAAATGCTTTGGGAATAGGATTTTTAAAAGACAGAAGAGAACAGTGTGGTTCTGTCTCTTGAGTCTCATGAACACACAGCAAGACATGTATTCCCATTAACTCTCTAGGCCATGAGCTATGTGTGCTCCCTTTCTAAGGAAGGATTCTAGGGTGGTTTTTGTTATTGGGTACTGTGGAATGGATTATTTCCCTCCACTCTTGTTGCTAACTGAAAAAAAAGAAAAAAAAGACACATTGCAATAAGGTTATGGGATTGAAAGAGCTACATTTAGACACAGCTATTTTGGGGTCAAGGTCAAGCAAGACAAAAATGGAAGAGAATAAGGAAAAATGAAACAACACAAGGAGAAGAGGAACCTGGCCACTCCTGAGTGAAGAATCTTCTTAGCCACAGTGGAAAAGGGGAAAGGGCTAGCCCAGAATCTCGGAAAGAAGAGATAGGAATGATAGAGGGTAACATGGCATTTGGTTCTGTTCCTCCTGGCTCTCTCCCTCTCTCAGCTCTGTTATTACCATTTTACTTTAAAACATTTTTGCTGGATCATTTATAGTCTTATAAAGTAGCTCAAATCTTTTATGGGACTAAGCAGGTTATAAAGACATATTTTTAATATAAATATTTACAAAAATATTATGCTTACACATATTCATGCATAATATTTATAAATACATAAAATATATATATTTATTTAGAAGTTAATGTGTATTATAATATTGTAAATCTCATTCCTGAATTTGGGTTTAGTAGTTCTCAAAAAATGATTTTTTTGTCTTTATAAAGTCCTCAGGGTAAGAAATCCTTACAGATACACTTGCATGTAGATTCCTAAGCCAGGGAGTGCGGTAGACGCCACCTGATCACTAGTGTCAAGAATTTTGTACTCAGTGGGGTGGGAGTTGGCTGACAGTGGAAGGGGTGAGAGCAAGATGGTAACACCATAATTCTGACTGGGAATGCCACTTTCGACACTGGCACAAAATAAAGCATGTGGAACATACAAGTCATCACCTATAAGTCAACTTCTTGAAAGTTTAAGATTGTCACAAGTCTAAGAGTTGGGCTGGAGATTTGGCAGAGTTGGTAATAACTTTTGTGCCTAAGGACAGAGAGATCTGAGTTACATAAACAAGAAGTGTTCACTATGAACTGAAATAACCAATTCATGGGTAAGGAGACTGAGGCTAGAAATTCTAGGGTACGTGAGTGTTTTCTAGATAATGGTAACTGTGGCTCATTGGAGCAGGAGTAGTGCCAGTGAGAGTGGTGCCTTTTACTGAATCTTCCCATCTGGGGGTAAATGGCCATTCATGCTGCAACCCAGTTATTCTAGCTCCTTTTCAAGAGGATGACGATGTGCCAGAGGTAGGTGAGGAGTGAGAATATAGGTATACGTAAGACGTTCCCTCTTTGTGTGTTAATTATACTGTGACATAATGAAGTAGGATTTAGACGGAACTAGTGTATGGTGTGCCTTTCTTTTCATAGCTACAGGTACTAAACAACAATGGGTGAAGCAACACTGTGGAGATCAGAATTTGATGATGGTGAAGGAGACATGACTCAACATTTGCTGTTCTAATTTCCTGTATTTTGCTATTTCTCCCCAATCCATGGTGATTTCTCAGTAATAAATATACTACTACAAATAATAACAGTGTCATTTCTATGATTTTATTGAATGCTTATTAACATCTTCACATGCCTCATCTCATTTAATTCTCACAAATGAGGCAGGTGACAGATCCAGGAGTTAAAAATAGTTCTGCACACAGACCTTAATGCTCTACTAATGATTCTTATCAGTTGGTTGCATGTTTACAGTTCACCCATTTATTGATTTATCCTATAGATACTGTTTTTAGTCCTTACTGTAAAAAATATTACATATAAACAAAGCAGGGCTATCTCAGAAGAACAAAAAGCACCCTTACCTTGATTCTTTCCTTCCTCCTTTTTTCCCTCCCACCCTTCATTCAAAAATTATTCAATAAATCCCTTCTTTGTGCTAAGCACCCTGCTAGGCATTGCAAATAAAAATCCCTGTGCTTCTAGAATTCATAATTTACCCAGAAAACTAAAAGCATATAGATAGATAACTATAATTTTATATCTTTTACATCTCAAATCAGAGTAGCACAGGTAACATCGATTTGCCTACTTTTTACATCTGGCTTAACACACAGAATATTTTGAAGATTTCCTATGTATCATATCACTCTTCTATGTACTTTTATCTTGGCACTGACATTTTATCTTGCCTACTTAATAAGCATTTCATAGATATAAAGAAAACCTTTGGTCAAATCTACAGAGCAGGCTGGATGTGGTGGCTCATACCTACAATCCTAGCACTTTGGGAGGCCGAGGGGGACAGATAACCTGAGGTCAGGAGTTTGAGACCAGCCTGGCCAACATCGTGAAACCCTATCTCTACTAAAAATATAAAAATCAGCTGGGCATGGTGGCGGGTGCCTGTAATCCCAGCTACTTGGAAGGCTGAGGCAGGAGAATCGCTTCAACCCGGGAGGCAGGGGTTGCGGTGAGCTGAGATCACACTACTGCACTCCAGCCTGAGCAACAGAACAAGACTCCATCTCAAAAAAAGGAAAAAAAAAAAAAATCCACAGAGCAGAAGCTAGAAGGAAAAATAAGTCTTGGGTCAAAACAAGCATCTGAGATTCGGGGGAGATTAGAACTGCTCTTTTAGAACTTAATGGGTCTGAGAGGACACATGTGCAGACATGGGAACAGGTCAATGTTCTTGATGGGACATGTGTTGGGGGAGGGAGGGAGAAAGAGAGTCAGATAATGACAGGAGCAGCTTTCCCCACCTAGGTCATATATTCTTATAGTGAAGTTTTCTCCTATGATAAAAAAAGTTGTAACTTTATAGAATATATAGATATCTTTGAATCTAAGTTTAAAATAAATTTTAAATCCTGCTGAATTATCTTTGGATTATCACTATTTAATAAATATAATTATAAAAATCTATATCTAAATATAGGACATATATGAATAGGCTTCGGGGTATCTGTGAACTCTTGAAATAATATGCAACATTGTTTTTCTAGACTTCATGAAATGTAAACCCACGACCTAAAATGATTAAGGACCAATAAATAGATAATTAAAATTTGAGACATGTAAAATTTGAGCCCTACAACCAGGGAAATTTTTCCCTCATAAATTAGAGCTAGCAGCATACAAACCTGACATAAATACTGTACTTACATCAAGAGCCACAGATTGCTTGGCCCAGGATTTCTTCACTTGATCATACATAATTGTGTTGTTGATGCCAAGTCCACAAAAGATGACAAATGCCTAGGAAAGTACAAACCTGCTAATTAAACGTTGTGGCAACTCACTGGTAAAATCTAATATGAAAGTGGGGAGTCACCAGGGATGGGTCTGAAATACAATCTTATTGTACACAGAGGTAGGCCTTGGGGAAATAAGCATATAAAAATTCTTAATTACTATTATTATATAACAACTTTATAGCTCACACTGCACATGAGAAAAAATTATGAATTTAATGTCATTATAGGGAATCTACTTCATATGTTTAAACATACTTATAGTCTGTTTAAATGGGTTCTTAATTTATTTAGGCTGTGGACTGATTTTAGTAAATCCATTCTATTTAACCAAAGCAACCTCTTTTAGTTGCTAGGCTATACAATATTTTGGTAAAAAGCTAAGTTAATGTAACCATAGGGTAAGTGTTAAGGGGAAGGAGGATTGAGTTAGAACCATTAATAAAGAAGCTATGAGGTATTCTTGAGTAGAGAAAGATAATGATGAGTTTTCATGTTGGCTACCGGCCCAGTCTATGAGGAAGCCCATTCAAGGCTAACCTCTTCATTTAGAGAGCCTGGAGTGAATGCACGGAAGCGCATAAACAAGAGAAAAGTGAGGGCGGTACACCTGGCAGAGCTGGCTTAGGGTTTCATGACTCTGAACACACATAAGCAACACAAGAATAAAACAATAACACTTTGGGGAAAAGAGGGAAATTCTTTAATAAAGTTAGGATAAAAATAATGGATGGTTACAAAATAATCCAATTTGTAAAAAAATAGGATCAAATCTCACTTAAGCATTTATACATTCCTTAAATCTTCCTGTAAATTCTGTCCTCCATTTAAGTATAATAATAATTGACTAATTATTTGTCTTTTCAAATTTGGGCAAGCCTCAACCAGGAGACTATTGATGACTCCGTATAAACCTCGGTTTATACATTTATTTTCTTACCTCAAAAAGTCGTTGATCTGCATCATCAAAAGGTTTCCCATCAAGTCTATTTAACACTTGAGCCACTCCTGTGGGAAAAGAGTGAATTATGTGGTCATTTTTAGTACTGGACATTGTGCTTCTCTAATAAAATAACCCACAGCTAACTCTATGCCTCCTTTAGGGAACTACACTCAGTTTAAACTCTGGTCTCTCAAGTGCCTGCCAATTTCATGAGAATAAATCTGAGGTGTGCAGTCTATCTTCAAGGCTGATTTATTTAGACTAGATCTCAGTAGAGTTTGGCATTAATCTGATTCTAGATGACTAGTTACAGTAACTCGAATATATCCCCCCTATATTTATATGTATGTTTGTGTATATATATATATATGCATATACATATGTATTTGTGTGTGTGTGTATATATATATATATATATATATGAGAATATATATACACACACAGTTATATATACAACTTAGTATATATGTAGCTGAATATGTGTGTGTATTCAGTTATATATATTTCAACTGAATATATAAATGTGTATATATATATATACATTTCATTTTCTGAAGCACAATACTTGAGAGGGGCAGTATGGCATTGTGACTAAGAACAAAAGCTTTGGACTTAGATGGTCTGGGTTCAAATTTTAACTCCACCATCAGGTGTGTGACCTTGGGGATGTTACCTAGCTTTTTTAGCACTCAATTTCCTCATCTGTAAAATGGAGATTAAAATGTTAACTATCTAAGAGGGTTATGACAATTAAATGAGAAAATGTTAGAATGTTTGTAAAGCATTTAGCATATTGCTTCACTCAGTGTAAATATTCAAGAAATGTTAGGAATTACTACAAACAATAAAAGTTGATTAATACAGTTAACTCTCAAAGCAAGGTTAGTTCTGTTGCCTGCTACCAATGGGGTACGTGATTCTAAAAACTTAATTTATGAGTGGTTACTATTTCCAATGTTCACTTTTAGCATTATACCAGATGTCTGAGGGCATGACTTTCAAAACACACAAGTTTAACAAGAAAAATCAACTATCTTGAAAATCATTAGCCTTTAACCTCATTTAGCACAGAAAAAAAAACTCCAGCTATAATTCTAAAATATGCTTGTATTTTTAAAAACACCCAACTTCCCACCAGGGAGGTAAGTCACCCTATGCTAGAAGATTATATATATATATATTATATATATATATATATTATATATATTATATTTATATTATATATAATATATATTATATATATATTATATATAATATATATTATATATATATTGTGTAATATACATATATATGTTATATATACATACATATATATGTATGTATATATAATGAAACACAAAACTATTAGCATGTAACCAGGCAAACTATGGTTCTAATTCTGAAGTAATAATGGATGCTTACTATTAGGATTGAAATGTAGGACTGTGAGATTGCCATGGAATATCAACAGATAACACATGGTGTTTCTTATAAACTTTCTCTTTAAACATAAATTTATTTAAAACTGTGCATGATGTGGTTTAGTTCTTTGTACTAGAAGCTTAGATCCCAAATCTTAGAATATTCTTCATCTTCAATAATGTACCAATATTTTTATGCAGATTAAGCTGATGAAAAAAATTATCTCAGAATTCAGATCTTGACAACACTCACAGAATATTAAATCCTTTAATAAGCAGCAGTGTTTTAGACTTTAACAGGCAATTTTAGGGGGAAGCAGAGAAAGGCAAACAGATGCATTAGTTACCAAATGAATTAGTGTTCTTATGTCTCTTAGAAAAAAAAGTCATATTTTAATTCTGTTTCAATAATTTCAACTAATTACTCCATCCTTCATGACTTCTCTATTTCAACCATGAATTCTTGTTGGGGCTTCTTTCTTGACTTTGATGCTTTCCTGGTTGAGTTTTTTGAGGATAAAGAAAGGGGAATGGAGGAAGTAAAAATTGGAAGCTGTTTTTCACCCACGATTCCTTTGTTATGGGAAAATCTGGCCTATTTGAGAACTGCCCAGGCAGAAAGATGCATGCTCAGTATATGACCAATAGATAGTGTTCTTTATTCCTTTGCCTTTACACCATGTATAAAAGCACAGGTATAAACACATTGACATAGTAAGAAAGTCTGTACTAGAAGTTAGGAAGCCTGAGTTTTAATCTTGACCTTCTAATAACTTTGTGGTTTTCTTGAAGTCATTTCTCTCTCTCTCTCTTTAATTATTTTATCCTCTCTCTCTCTGCTGCTACTTCCACAAGGTGAAGTAAAAGAGTTCTATTGGTTGATAACTCAGATTTTCTTCAACTTTAAAATTTATTGGTTCTTTCAACTTAGTAATTATTTGTTCAAGTTGTGGTTAATGTTGATTCTTTAGGAGTTTGCACTTACGAGATTATACAAGAGTGTGAGACAAAAGATATGGGAGTATTTTAAAGCAAATTTCTGTTTCTTTATTCAAGAAGTTTAATTATTTAGGTAATTTCTTACCAATTATTTGGTGGTTGCTATTCCAAATAGGGACACAGAGAACAGATCTTATGTGAAAACCAGATATGTGGTCCGCCTAGAAAACGAGAAAGAAGTTAATTAAAATTAAATATTAACTATTCATTTCTGATTTACATTTTACCATTCTTTATAACAGATACTCAAAAATAACTTTCAAAAAGTTATTTTATACATTGTAACCTAATTTTGTAATGCATAAACTCACTCACCTGCCTCCTTCATCGCAATGAACATACTACAGAAATCAAATCCAAGCCAAATATGAATCAACCAAAAAAATCCCAAACCAACATGACCTCCTCCAATCCCTGTAGCCATAGAGAATTGGACATGAAATTGGCTTAATCAAGACCACACCAGCAGACAAGAATTCCAACAACTGTTTCTTCTCTATTTAAAGCACTTTAATTAAACCAGTGATCAATATTTATCTTTGAGCACACTTGTTAGTAAAAAAAGTTTGTGCTTATAATGCTGTCATATTTACATTTACTTTTAACACTGTATATTTTTACTGTTACTAAATTATTACATATGTTATCAAATCTATATACAAAAAAGGTAAGATAAATGTAGAGGCTTGAAGATCTTCCTTCTGTTCCCCAAAAGATATCAGGAGGTGACAGATTTAAAACGCAGAGGTATAATTATCAATATCAAACATTGAGTAACAAACTCCACTTAAGATTAAAAACAATGGTCGATATTTGAATTGTTAGAAACTGCTAAGAGTGAAAGGGTCTTAGTGAGTTAACATGACCTTGATTTTCAGTGAGAAAGGTCAATCTACTGTTCCAATACAATAGGAGAAAACAAGAAGATATCAAGATTTTGGATCACGGATATTGAGATAAAAAGACATTTTAAGCTATTCTTTGTTGAAGGTAAAAGTGACATATTTTAAACACTTGAAACTAAAAGTTAATTTACACACCTAAATCTTATATTTGGATGTCTTTCTTTTTGACATTTCTCTTTGATATGTTAATTTTCTAGATACCTTCTATTCATTGCGCCAATATGTTAGTTTTTATTTTTCAATGTTTTTTGAAGATTAACATGCATGTAGAAAGGCCCAAAAATTATAAGTACACAGCTTAATGGATTTTTTACAAAATGAATAGACCTATGCAACTACCATCAGGATCAAGAAATAGGTGAGGGGAGGAAGGCAGAAAATCACACTGCCACGTGTGTACCTATGCAACAATCTTGCATGTTCTTCACATGTACCCCAAAACCTAAAATGCAATAAAATAAATAAATAAATAAAAATAAATAAAAAAGAAGAAAAAAAAAAGAAATAGAATATTATCACCACCCCAGAAGTCACCTCCATGCCCCTTCCCTCTTCCCAAAAGACAACCACTATACGGCCTTCTAACACCATACATCAGTTTGCTCACTCTTAACTTTATACAAAATGAATCGCTAAATGTGTGTTCTTCTGTGTCTGGCTTCTTTTGCATATTATGTTTTTGAGATGCATTCATTTTGGTCATTTTCATGGCAGCATGATATCCCACTATATGAATATAATACTGTTAATTCATTCTATGCTTGATAAACACTGGGTTACTCCAGTTTGTAGCAATTACACATAATGCAATTATCAAAATTCTTGTACATACTTAGTGCACATATGCATTTTGGATAGGCATATACCTATAATAGAATTGCTGAGTTATTCACATGTTCAGCTTCAATTGATATATTTTTAAAGTTTTGCAAAGTAGTTGTACCAATTTACCTTCTAACCAGAAGTGTATGAGAGTTCCAGTTAATTTACATCATCACCAACATTTGATGTTGTCAGGGTTTTTTTAAAAAATTGACAATTCTGATAGATATGTGGTTGTATCGCCTTGTGAAAGAAATCTGATTATCTCTGACGACTAGGGTGACCATAAATCCTGGTTTAAGTCTGTTTTCTTGACATAATTATTAATAATATGCCTTTCATTCCCTAAAGTGTCCAAATTTGGCCAATAAATTTATGATTTTCTTACTTATGATTAATGAAGTTGAGAAACTTTTCATATACTTATCATCTACTTCTATTCTTTTTTATGAAGTGCCTGTTCAGAACTTTGGCATTTTTTCCAGTTGGGTTGTCTGACTTTCTAAAACTGGCTTGTAAAAGTTTCTTCTATATTCTGGATAAGAGCCCTTTGCCGTGTATATGTATGACAAATACTTTTCTTATTCTATGACTTGTTTTCCCACTCTGCTAATAGTGTCTTTTGATTCAGAGGTCACTAATATGATTTAGTCAAATATTTCAATTTTTAAATTTGTGGTTAGTAATTTTTTGGTCTTATTCAAGAAATCTTTCCATATCCCAACCTCATGAAGATATTCTTCTGTTCTTTACCTAGAATCCTTATTGTTTTAACTTCCACATTTAAACTTACAATCCAACTGAAAATGATTTTCATGTATAATATGAGCTAGGAGTCAAAATTTTTTTTGAAAAGCATATTCAATTGATCCACCACTGTTTTGAGTGAAAAAGCAATACCTCTCCCCATCACTCTACAGTGCCATCGTTTTCATTAATCAACTGTTCATATCTATTTGGATCTGTTTCTGAACTCTCGATTCTATTCCATTGATCTAGGTATCTTTCCTTATGCCAATACCATACGGCCTTAAATAATATGGTTGTATAATAAGGCTCAGTATCTGGTAGTGCAAATCCTCCAACTTTGTCCTTCTTCAAGATTGCCTTTACTATTTTTGGCCTCTGGCATTTCCATACCAATTTTAGAATCAATTTACAGTTTATACACATACACATACATTCCTGGGATTTTTATTGGTACTTTTTGAATCTATCAATTTGGGGGAGAATTGACACCTTTAAAAAACTGAGTCTTTCAATCCATAAATATCCCTTAAGTTATTTAAGGCTCTTAAAATTTCTCTTAGCAAAGTTTGGTAGTTTTTCCATGCAGCATTTTTACACGTAATTTGTTATATATGTATCTTGATGTTTAAAAACTTAATGATATTGCAAATAATGTTAATATTTTATTTTCTAATGCTTGTAATTGGTACATAAAAATAAAATTGACGTTTTAATATTTAATTTGTATCCATCAATCTTGCTACATTCAATTATTAACTTTAATGTCTTACCTTTAAAGTGTTTTGGATTTTCTTGCCACATGATCACATCATCTTATCCTTTAATTGTTACACATTTTACCATGTAATTTTAGATTATGTGATTTTTTCTTTTTTAGTTTGTCAGTAGAGTGAATTATATTGACTGATATTTGACAATTCCAGATGCAAAACCAAAAACATAAGCATAAATCATTCATCCAGTGTACTCTTCCAAAAAATATTTATTTACCACCTCCTATACACCAGACACATTGCTTAGTATTGAGGATAGAAAAAAGAATTCACATAGTCATTACGCTTGAGGTACTCACAGTCTAGGAAAGATAGCAATATTGAGATAAAATCAGTGTCCAAGTAGAGGAAGTTCAAACACTATTGGAAAGACAACAACTGACTCTGTTCAGAGAAATCAGGAACAGCTTAAGACCCTTTACAGTGAATCTTCAAAGACAACAGTGATGATGATAAGTGCACATTTGTTGGATATTCACTCTGTGTCTGGCACTCTGCTCAGCACTTTTTAATGCATTATTTTATACTTTTTACAACCACCCCATGAAGCAGGTACTGTTATCATCCTCTCTTATCAGATGAGACTTATAGAGATTAACTGCCTTGGATGGCAGAGGCTGACTCAAAGGAACACAGCCAAAGGCAAACACACGTCCATCAAAGTTAACTTCCAAAAAAAAAAAAAAAAACAGGTTTTCTTCCTCTCCCCAGTGATAAAATCTGAATTAAGGCAATACCAGCAAGCATGAAGAGAAGAAAGTCAATTTTAGAGAGGTTTCAGAGGTATAATCTATAGACTTAGGCTACCCACGGCAGCACTAGCATGGTTGGGTCTGCTTTGTTTTGCTGAGGGAGGGTCACACAGCATTGTGCCAACCACTGGGTCTGAGGCAGCATCGAGTAGTAAACACATTTGTCTCCGTCAGCTCTGGGACAACAGTAGCCCCTGTCTAACCTCTCCTACAAAAGTTGGGCAGCTGAGGGACAGATCACAATGAGCAGGAAGAAAAAGGAACATGCAGTAAGAAAGATAATTTAGAAGCTGGTGGTGAGAAAAAAACCTTTAGGCTGTTCACCAGTTAAATAAAAGAGAATGTTGTTTACCCATCACTTTTAAAGCATTACAGTTCTCCAAAAGAGTTTTTTATTCTGGGAAAGTGGGAGTACACACTCTCCCATCCCCGTGGAGGATAACAATGAGGTTTCCGGTTTGCATAAAGGTGGAAGAGCTCCTTGAAGTGGGGAACACAGGAAATTTGAGGAAAATAATACAGATTCCCAATGGACACACCTTACAAGGGAGAGGGGCTGGAGATACTAATCTTGGAGTCATCAGTTATCTGTGTTAATTTCATGAGTAAAATCACCAAGAAAAAATTTGTCCTACAAAAAGACTAAAAATTGAACTTTGGGGAACATAATATTTATTGCTAGAAGAAAAAGGTGACATCAGTGACAGGGATGGACAAGAACTCCAAAGCTCATGCTTTTAACCCAAAGGCTTTACTGCATCTGTAATGTGTGAATAGATTTCTACAACCTTCCTGGAAATAGGTTCATTGATGTGTATCCAGAGCCTAAAAAGTATAAACACATACTCTTTGGCCTATCAATTTCATATGTAGGAATTTATCCTGTGGTAATTATCAAAGCTATGCCCAAAACTTTACATGTAAAACTGTGAACCATAGCATTATTTATCTTACTGATGTATTAGAATAACACGAATATTCAACTGGAGGGAGTTGGTTAAGTAAATCATAGCACATTCCTACAACAGAATATTATGCATCTAATTGAAATCATGCTATAGAAGAATAGTTACTCATATGGAAAATATTTAATGTATTAAATGATAATAGTGTACATGCCTGTGGTTATACAAAAGTATATCATATACATTGAAGAATC